TTCTTTCAAGAAAACACATAGATAGGAACTAAGAAAGGCACAGTACGAAAAAAATACCTCTGGTTTCAAATGTGGCTCTTGTTTCACTTTTACATTTTGTTCAACTTTTGCAGTGCAACAGGGACCTTCTGAAATGATACGTGGACTTTTTGAATCAATTGACGTGTCCTCATTGAGAGCTTCAGGAACACTATTGGCATTGTTGACCTACATTTGACATTACGAATAAATGTTTAGCTATATAAGATAAAAAGACAACAAAGAAGAAACCAGATAGAAATAAACGATTCTACTCATAACAAATACCTCCACATTAGGAACTAAATGAAACATAGCAACAACATCAGGAGCATTGTTAACAAACACCCAAAGAAGAAACCAGATAGAAATAACACTATTGGCGTGATATGTCTCGCAGCTACAAATTGTAGTTGAAAAAATGATGAAAATAAATACTGGAACTAAAAAGATAAGTCAACAAACGATATACAGTATATGATGCTTACTGGTAAAACCCCGAAATTTTTCCTAGACTCGTAATTCCTATCAAGCATTGTGAGATACTTGAAATCTTCATTCTTAATGTGAGATATCTGAGGAAGAGAATAATCCACAGTTGACTGATGATTCTCAATAACATCAAAATCAACAAAATCCAGATAAATGATCTACCATTTAAAAAATAAAAAGGACAGTCAAATAAAAAGTGGAGAGATAGAAAATAGTGGAACTCAATATTGAACTTACTCCCCAAATAGGAAGACATCCCCCAATATATGAAGCCTTGTTCATTTCCTCAACACTTGGTCTGTTCATGATCATTTCAAAGTGACTCTCTGACTCCTCACGCATGAAATCCAATGCCAATTTCCAAAGTCAAGTGAAGGGATAGCAGAAACATCTCTTAGAGAGTACAAGAACTTGGTGTTACCAAAGCAGTATGACGTAGGGCACAAAATAGATGATAGGAAATAAAATGTGAAGCTCCTGATAAAACCATCTTCTGACTCGTCACTAAGCATCACCTCCTTTATTTTGTTGATTGGCATTTTGTTCCGATGATCAAGATACTTGCTCCTTAACTCTGTAACCTCTGCCTTCACTTGGGGATCGTCACTATTGAATACAAAAGGCACTGTGCCACCAGGGAAATCAAAAAAATTGTCGACCATATCTTTAGTAATCTTGATAACTTTGTTCTTATGCTTGAAACATGGCTCTATACTTCCAAACATATGCCGATCTATCCATTCAAGCAGATTCACTGGGATATTAAATTTGTATGGCATATGAAGCAGGGCTTCCATTTTGTACTTTCTCACATGGCCTAATTGAATGTCACTAAACTTCTTGATAGTTTTGTTGAAACGCTTGAAAGACAGTCTGGTAATATATGTAGGCTTGCATAACTTCCTAGGGAACACTCGGGCTTCGAAAAAAAAGAACAACAACTTATAAGACAGTGCAAAAACTAGAGAATAAATAAATATAAATGGAATATGAAAAAAAAGAACAACCCAATAGAGTATCACAAGAAATGCTAGAGGGCCAGCAAAACAAGCAGCTATATTTAAATATAAGAAAACACACATAAAAACAAGCATTTAGATAAAAATGATTAGATGAACATGTACTTCAAGAAATATATGAGAAGAAAACATGTTACTACAGAGAAGGAAAACATATGTGATCTACATATAAATTAAAAAAAGACACAAACTAAATATTCAAACAGGACAACTTACAAATGAATATACAAACATCTGGTAAGACCAAAAGCTGACACAAAATTTGTTTTTCCAGCAATTTGATCTACTTTCGTACTATACTAAATTTAAAAGCTACAAACTGAAAAGAGAAAACGAACATACCACCTAAGTCATTTCGGAGACCTCGTGGGGGCTATTCAGTTGGTTCCTCCCCTTCTGGTTCTTCAACTTGGCCAACCCCATCTCCTTCTTGTGCTGCAAATACAGATTTACCAAAAACTATTAACAAATGAGCACTACTTATGAATCTATCATATTTAGATAATATATAAAACCATAACATACTAAAGGGATTGGACAAGAAACCATATAAATACTAAGAGAAAATTTTCTGCAACTTCAAGTTCTAGTTGAAAAACAGAAACATTTTTGCTAAAGCACATCTACATGTGCCATAAGTATAGCACATTCTAAGTTCTATGCCGCTGATTTTATGTGAAGATTTGAGCGGGCATTTTCTGTTATCTTTTTCTTTTTTCTTTTTGGTTTGATTGAATAACTAAGATGTGCAATAACTAGGGCACATCTAGATGTGCCTTAGACAAACCCAAACAAAAAATGAGCATCTACTAACCAACAACTACTGCGGACATAAACACGAACTATCAATAGTAACGCACTAAGGGGAATTTGTCAAGAAACCATGAAATACTAAAGGTCTATCAACATACTTTTATATACTGATTCAGGTTGAAGTTAAATAACTAAAAATATGATGTAAACACAATTATAGTACTTCAAAGAATTGCACTATACCCTCAAAATTCCCACATTACACCCCACAACCTACTCTTGATTTCATGTGTGATCCCTGTCCGATCTCACAAAATCCTACTCAGAGCCAACAACTTCTTAAATATCACAAAACCCTAGAAAATTTCAGCTATGGTTATGCATGCCACTGTAAAGTACCCAGCCCCATCCCCATGGCTTACGTTGGGCACAAAAACAGACACAACCACGTGAGCATAGCTTCATAAAACACGGGACATTAATGCAGATGCATCAAGACAATAAGCAAAGAGCAGATTCATTACACAGATGGCAGGGGGATGAATTCACACGCATCAACACAGGGGAGATGCCATCCATCACAGGAGATGAGTTCACACACATCAACACACGGGAGAAAAACTATCACCGCACAAACAAGATGGCACCAGATGCATTTATACAGCTGCAACAGAATACCTATAAAGGGGGCAAATTTTTTTAGCCCAAACCCTAGATACCAGAGACACCATCAGTCACTGCACACAACTAGATCCACGCATAAACAAGAGCGACACAAGAACGAGCACCACGAAAACACAGATCATAATTGAAGACCTAAGGGGAATTAGGGTTAGAAGGAGAACGAATCAGACAAAGCCATCACGGGACAGAGGAAGAACCGAAAATGCCGCCGATGCGAGCCGTCGATGCGCCAGTCGTCGGATTAGGGTTCGTCACCGCTGCGGATTCGCCTGATTCCCCTGGGGATCGAACTCAGTCGTCGGGGAGAGGGAGGAAGAACAGAGAAGTCGTCGGGAGAGGGGGATAAGAGGAAACATGGGAGGGGATAAGACGAGCGAGGCACGGGAGGGGGATCGAATAGGAATCGCAAGAGTTTTAAACGGGTCGGCCTACCGCTGCAGGCGCCGGTTTGCGGAAACAACTAAAACCGGCGCCTGCAGCACCAAATAGGAAATGTCGTTTTCCTGCTGTTTTTCTAATTTCAGTTTTTTGTTTTCCTTTTTGTCTTTTTTTTCTTCTACGGGTTTTCTAACATTTTATTTTTTTTCTTTTTTAATTAATAAATATTTTAAAAAAATTTGAACATTTTTATTAATGTCAGTAATATTTTTCAATTTTTTGAACATTTTTTAATCTGCAAATAAAATTTTCAAATCTGAGTACATTATGAATTCACGAACTTTTTTTTACAAACTGCATTTTTATAAAAATCCGTGGACATTTTCCAAATTTTTGTGATTTTAAAATTCACGAACATTTTTCGATGACCCCGGTTTTAGACGGTGGGGCGTTGCGATGGCATCCCCTGTTATTGAGTTTGTAGGTGTGGAGTGGTGGCTTTAGGTTGTGCGATGTATATTTTTGCCAAAGCTTTGTTGAATAATTAAACAAATATGATTGTGTGCATCTTTTGATGGAGAAGCCGAAAGTTTCAACTTCCTTTTCTTTAAAAAAAATGAGCATTCGTCCTATAAACGATCCACTGATTTCTTGTTCAAATTGGATGTAGAAGACTCTCGCTAAGGCCGTGGACACTGATGTTTTTTCTAAGATCATCTCCAAGATCCGCACATCTCCTATTGCCTTATGTCTTGCAACTACTCACCCGTGAACTGAAGATATTTTCTTTGCCTGTTATCCTTGGCCTGCGTGCCTTGTAAATGTTACAGAAAAAGAAGTGCTATGCACACGACAAACTACAGACGATGCACGCATGATGGTTAAATCTGGCCGGACATACATATGATTAAGCAAGTTGCCAGCCGCTGGATTGTTGTGTTGTCCATAAATCGTGCACTTGTATCATGCATGGAGCAGTTCTGTTACAGTAACTTAGTTTCGTATTTACGTTGTACTAACATTGTTGGATCTCTATCAGGTGGGCTTTACTTATAAAGTCGAACTCCTAACTATTCTCTAAAAAAAATCTCGGTGGATATATGAACACGTTAAACACCAAGAAGATGGCGCTGCTTTCTTTTGAAAATGTTTATGTTTATCTAATTAGGTAGGCTAACCCTTTGGCTACTAGTATAATGTGGAGGTAGAGGGTGACGCCTGCCCACCATCATCGGATCACGCATTTGCCAAATTTATCACTATCTTGGAAGCTTTAGCATTTGCCTTTCTAGTGACGACGATCCAACAGTAAGTGCCGCCGCTTGTGCGAGATGCGCGCATGAGAGCACTCCACATTTGTTCACATCGTGTTTGACCCTGCGCCTTCTGACTTCTCATCTCTCTGAACCTTCTTTAGCTTAGCAACTTGAACAATTGTCCCTTCATCCAACGCAGACCATGGACACTGAGAATACATTATCGAGTCACACATGCACTGTACACTGTCCAATTAATCATCTGCCGGCGATCCACCCCCGTCCACCTATCGATTTGCTCTCCACCCGGTCACTTCTTTGACCATCCTTCCGCGTCCTTCTCGGCAACGATAAATACCCTACATCCATGAGTCTTCTTCACGGGCTTCTCTCAACACCAATGGCTGCACCCTCCCTGTACGCGTACCTCCTCTCCTGCAACGTGATCGCGCTGCTGCTCGTGGTCGCGCCCCCGTGCGCGGGGCTCGGGCTTGACACGGTGAGGGGCTTCCTCACCAGGGAGGAGGACACCGTCATCTTCAGCCTCATCGAGCGGGCCAAGCACCCGATGAACCTGCCGGCCTACGACGACCGCGCGTGCTTCGGCCCCGCCGGCCGCCATGGCCGCCGCAACGGTTCCTTCGTCGAGCTCTTCGTCCGGGAATCCGAGCAGATCCAGGCCAAGGTGCAGTAGTCCGATCATTCGTTCTCGATGGCATGCATGCATGATGCATTCTCCTTCCTCTCTTGTTCTCTTTCTTTGACTCTGCTACCTGGGTAGCTGGTAGCTTTCAGTTCTTCTATTTTCAACGCTCATTTATCAATTGGTAGTGGTCTAAGATGTTTTGACTTGAGCGTCTGAAAACTATGGTCAAACGTTACATGCTCCCGGGAAGGTGTTGACTGAAAGTGATAACTAATACGCCCTCTGGTTCAAAATATAATCATATTTTATGTAAAAAAATTGGTGATATCAATTTAACATTGTTCATGCTTGTAATTTCTTGTATAATAATGGTGGTCAAACTTAAAAATGCTTGATTGACGGAAACTCTAAACCAGACCGAGTATATATATTGCAAAACCAGCTACTCCTTCCAATCAATATTACTTATCGCAGCTTTAATACAACTTTAGTAATCGGAGGAAGTAGTTGGTTACTTCAAGCAAAGAAGATTAGGGTTCCTGCCTCTCGCCGGCGCCGGTGCAGGTCCGCCTCGTCTCCGGTGGCCCTAGGGCCATGGAGGTGCGGTGGATCCTGGCAAGGGCCGGCGAGAGGGCTCCGTTTTTAGTCGTTTTTTTCAATCTTGTTAGGGTTTGTGTCCTATTCAGGAAGGCGAGACGGCGACGGCTCCTTGAAGATGGAATAAAGATCTCCCCGCCTAGGCCCCATTCCGGCGGTGGGTCTAGCATCGTTGATGGGCGTGTGGAGGTGTGTCTCCGGCAGGTCTATCTTCGGTGGATTTGCTCGGATCTCGTCGTTGTTCGTCTACGTTCGTGTGTCTTCGGTTTGGATCCTTCCGATCTACGTTATTTTTCATCAGCGGCGGTTGCTGTTCTGGGTGCTGGTCCTATGGGGCCTTAGCACGACGACTTCCCGACTGTCTACTACAACAAGTTGTGTCCGGCTCCGGCGATGGAGGGGCGATGACGGCGGCGCGCCTTCGGCTCACTTCGGTGCTTGTAGTCGTCGCTAGGTGGTCTACGAATCTAGATGTAATTTTTATTTCAGATATTCGTTGTACTGCCATGATTGAAGATGAATAGATTGGAAGTTTTTCAAAAAAAAAAAAAAGCAAAGAAGACAAAAGCGTAAGTATATTGCATTGGATTCGATTCACAGCAAAGCTATAATACCACACTCCGGGTCTTATTTTCTAAATGAAGGCACGTTACCGTTGTGCTAGTGCTACGACTGCAGTACTTAAGCAACCTCACAAGTAACAAACCTGACGAGCTGTGGAACGCTTTGTGCAGGCAGGAAGGTACCAAAGCCAGCAGGAGGTCCCTTTCTTCCAATCCAGAGTGCCCTTCACGCTGGCGCCTCCATACAACTTCACCACCGTAAGCTTCCATTCCACGCATGCATCCTCCACTGCCCAACAACGAACAAACTCCATCGCCCTCTTACCGAAACCTCGTGGTACCGAAATTCAATCCAGGATCTGCATCCCGGAGCGGCATCCGTGAACGTGAACGACGCCATATGGGGCATGTATTTCAGCGAGCTGCTCCCTCAGCTGGCCAACAATGGCAGCGACGATGGCAACTACGCTGTGACCGCCGCATCGGATCTGGCGTGTCTGCAGGTGATATGGAACGCCACATTGCATGCTTTTCTATGTAGACCCCAAATGCGCATGATGATACAGTCCATTTTTGTGATGAATAATTCATCCTTCTGGCAGGCGCTCTCGAGGAGGATCAACTACGGGAGGTACGTGGCAGAAGTGAAGTTCAGAGGAGACCAGCAAAGATACACAGCTTTGATCCGTTCGAAGGTACATGCTTCATCTATCATTTCATTTCATCGCCAACAGTTAAACCAGTGTTGACATGATCATGTAGTATAACTGATCTTTTTAAGATGATCATAAATGGTCACCAGAATGCATGGTCCATGTAATAAGCAAAGTAAAATCTCTCGATTCTCATGAAGGACAAGGATGCTCTGATGAAACTGCTGACATCTGAAGCCCAAGAGGATGTGGTGAAGAGGAGGGTGGAGAAGAAGGCCATGGTGTTCGGCCAAGATGTGACCTTGAACGGACCAACTGAAACTGGTGATGACACCAGCAGCCAATCCAGTTTCAAAGTCGCCCCTTCGGTGGTTTACGAATTGTATGACCGATGGGTGATCCCCTTGACAAAACAAGTGGAGATCGAGTATCTTCTCCATCGTCTCGATTGAGCCGAGCCGAGACTCTATCTCAGCAAAGCTAACCTAATTTGTTCACAATTGTACACACTTTGTATTGTCGGTACATAATTATCATGTGAAGGGAGACAAACACAATAAGAAACATGCATATTTGTGAAGCTCGCGATCTGTTCAAAATGTTCCAACAGAGTGGATTGATGACAGTTAAAGCTACTAGAACAATGGCCAAAATATGCTTTGCATCTCTCATGTGCAAAGTACCAAATGGGAAGCCATACGAGCTTCTCTCAGCATGAACAGCTAACAGTTGCTAAGTTCTACTCCCTCCATTTCAAAATAGATGACCCAACTTTGTACTAACTTTAGTACAAAGTTAGTATAAAATTGGGTCATCTATTTTGGAACGGAGGGAGTAGAATTGAGTCTACCAAGCTCAGGCTAACAGTTGCTAAGTTATACTCCCACCGTCCCATATTAGTTGTCATTGAAACAGATGTATCTCGACATATCTCAGTGCTAGATACATCCGTTTAAGCGACAAATAATATGGGACGGGGGGAGAATTGAGTCTACCCAGCCCAGGCCAACAACTTGCGTATAAGTTAGCCCCAAAATAGAAGACGTCCTACTTAAGTTCTGCGATTCCTTTATATGCTTACTTATGTTTTGGCATCTCAATTGCATGCACTGAGAACTCAGGCTTGCAAGTTTGATTGGTGCCTTCTGCCTCGGAGGTGACTCTCGAAATCAGATTGAGACGTGCACTTAGCATTGAAGATATCGCACATCCATCTTGACGCTTCAGTTCCCTTGCCATCTCCGTGCAGAGCTTCTATGTTCTCTTGGTGCCTTCTGCTTCGGAGGTGACTCGAGAGGTCAGATTGAGATTTGCAGTTAGCACTGCAGATGCTGCACATCCATCTTGACACTGGTGTCTGGTTATTGTCCGCAAGCTGGGGCATTTTCTTTTCATGCAGCCTTGCTTCACTTCCCTTGCCTTCTCCCTGAAAAGCTTCTATGTTCTCTTGGTGCCTTCTGCTTCGGAGGTGACTCGAGAGGTCAGATTGAGATTTGCATTTAGCACTGCAGATGCTGCACATCCATCTTGACACTGGTTTCTGGTTATTTTCCGCAAGCTGGGGCATTTTCTTTTCATGCAGCCTTGGTTCACTTCCCTTGCCTTCTCCCTGAAAAGCTTCTATGTTCTTTTGGTGCCTTCTGCCTCGGAGGTGATTTTCAAGGTCAGATTGAGATGTGCAGTTCGCATCGCAGATGCTGCACAACCATGTTGACACTGGTTTCAGGTTCTTGTCCGCAGGCTGGGGCACTTCCCTTTCATGCAGCCTCGCTTCAGCTCCCTTGCCTTCTCCCTGCAGAGCTTCTATGTTCCTTTGGTGCCTTCTGCCTCTTAAGTGATTCTGTAAATCTGTTTCATTGTAGCAATTCGCGTCGCAGACGCTGCAAATCCATGATGGAGCTTCTGCACTCCGTTTCCTCTTCACCCCAGAAAGTGCCTGTTTGTGCCGCTTTGCCTGCTTAATAGAGTTCTTATTAGCATAAAATGGCATGACTGATCATATTCTCGTCTACAACATACAGATCATATCGATTGAATATGAAGATATTACCACCTTTACCAGACAAACGTATACAAATTTCTGCACCACGAAAGATCTGCATAGATTAGAGTGAAATTCCCCTGATGTAACTAAAAAGGCAGTATTCTACTTAGAATGCACTTTATCTTGTTCTCTTCTCCATCATTCAACTTATGGAGTCAAGAAATTGGCAGTTTGGCACCATATGCAACTAGCAGATATATGTAGCTTTGTTTTACAGTTGAGCGTTTAAGCATTAATTGTTTGTAATCATCGTATTTAGAGAAGAGTATGTACAAGCCCCACAGTGTAATTTATTCACAATCTATACATTGAGGAGTCCCAGTTCACTTATCATATAAAAATGTCAAAGTGACATCATACGTAAATTATGTTGCTTGTTTTCAGAGCAGAGCACATCCTAAAAATTTCAATCGCACTAATTGTAGAGCACTGTCACAAGACAAAGATTAGTCAGAAAAGTATTTAGATTAGATAATTGAAAATGATACAGGTGAAGTAAACTATTAAAACTTTAACTACTAATATCTCTCAAGATATTCAGATTACATACTTGAAAATAAAATGTGTGAATTTGTCTTGAAAAGTACTTTCACAGTGCACTGTTTTCTTGGAGCTATAAATATAATGTAGTGGAAAAGAGTGGTTACAAAATGAGTTTTCAAGACTGTCGTCCAAAAGGAGCTTCTAGGGAATCAAATGGGATAGGAAGTGTCAAGCATATAACAACCATTAAAGGCCTAGGATCTACAAACCGTTGTAGCTCAGTAAGAACAAGGGTCACTTTTACTTGGAAATTGCACTGTGTACCATGTATTTGCGAGAAATGACGGGTTTAAACAGATTTGTAAGTATGATCACACTACACCGCATTTCACAGCAGAAAATCCTACAAAGTGCAGGTGAAACCATATTCAAATAATGATTTTGATTGTACAATATGGTGTGATGTGATGTTTTCATAAAACCTGGTCCAACCTGTCATCGGTCATTAGTAGAATTTACTCATTTTCAGATGAAAGCATAGTTATCACTTCTATTGAAAGTCATAAGTAGAAACGCTGGGAACTCACAATTTTTGACAGTACAAAATCAGTATACTGACCGTCAAACAATTACAGAGGCTAGTTTCTCACAGAGGTCAATATTGCACAAATCAAAGGGCAAATGCCTCATAATAGAGATGTACGATCAATCTTTTGAATTTTATCACATGAAAGATGCATAGAACAAATTAATGAGCCCATGCGGCAGTTAGTCACATAACAGGTATTCACAAATTCAGTAGTTTCTACAAGCTGAATTTATGCATGTTAAGGATGCATAATGCCATAGTAAACTGGATTCAGTAAAGAGAAAAACGACAAAATCTTAGCTGAGACATAGGTGGCTCCAAAAACACACCTAATATCTGGGATGAACTAGAGCCTTAGCTTTTACTTAATGTGTAATAAATACTAGTATGACTTAGGAACAGAACAAACTTTTAGTGATTTAGAGAGTAGATGGGAATAAAAAAAAAATCTTGAAGATGGCAGCATCCCAGCTATTCAAAACATAAGATGAATCAAATGTAAAGGTGTACAAAATTGAACATATAAAGGATAAGCAGCCGCTCACCCTGACGACTGGTTCATCCTCGCTCGCTGGCCTGCACCATGGAGGTCGATACCATTCCTCAATCCGATCTTTAACGGGCTGTCTCGCAAGTGACACGGGCACGTCCAGTGGCTCATTATGCGGCAAAGGGGATGTGCCATGGCGGGGAATTGTGATCTGCCGGAACCTGGCACCAGCATTACTGTACAAGAGTTGGCGCCGGAATTCAGGCTCCAGCTCCTGCTGCTTGGCTAGTTCGGCCACAATGATTCGCTGGCGGATTTCCTCGTGCAAGAGTTCCCGGCGGAGCTCTTGTATCGTCGTCTGCGCTGCATCCCCAACGCAACCGTTGTTAATTTCTTCAACGTGCTGGAAATTTCAACTAAATGTTGCACGACCACTAAATCCCTAGCCTGCCACGCATTATCAATTCCTCGAATGGACCAAAACAGGTGCCTTTTTTCTGTCATGTTCTTAAATCTTGATCTAATAGGTGTGCAAGACATAGGGAAAAAAATCACAAGTATTCAGATCCTAAAGACAGGGAGCAGTTCTTGCGTCTCTTAAAGAGAGAGAATAAATGCAGGCGATACTGGTGCCTAACAAAACAGGTAAAAATCCCCTATTTTCTGAGAACAAGGACAACTTGTACTGATTCCAAGCTCCAACCGCACAACTGAAGAACAAGAGCTAGTTCCGAATTTCCGTTACCATCAGGGGAAGGGGTGGGAATGCCGTAGATGTCGCCGGCGTCGGCCCGATGAGCGGCTCGGCGGGCGAGTTCCATGGCTGGGGCAAGGGTTTCTCTCTCCTCCGCACGCCGGCTTCCACTTCTTGGCTTTGTCGCGTTGGTCCCCGTGCGTTTGGTTCCTCCTCCGAGACTGGTTTCCCAATCCCAAAACATCCGATGCGTGGGTTTTAATTAGGACTTCCAAAATCCAAATGATCCATCTAAATTCGGAAATGCTAATGGCCGAACGTTCGCTGAGAAGGCAGTCCCAGCGAACACCCCGCACAGTCATTGGATCCTGATCACGTGGATGGCAAAAATAAATAAATAATCACTGGCAACCTTTCCTATACATGGAAAATTTCATGAATTTCCCCAAAAAACGCATAGCAATTTTAGTTGTTTCGGCATGGCAAATGAGGCGTTCATTGGAAAATTTGAAACTAGCGAATGTTTGCTAGATAAACATGTCCTCTAAATTAAATCTAGATACATCTCAAAAAAAAAAATCCAGGTATCTCTTCTAAAAAGAATTCCATGTATCAACTCGAGGAGTTGTATTTACAAAGGACGGATCATTACGACTTTTGAACTTGAATTTTGTAAATAAAATAGGTCAACATTTTGAGCTAACAACTCAAATAAGCCAGACTCTCAATACATGAAAAAAATGTTGCATACTTGGCGCCATTGTTGTACACGAGTCGTGTGATCGTATTCTCAAACACGTTGGGTTTTTGATGGGAGTCTCTAGTATATATGAACCAAATTCTATGTATTTAATGTCATCATTGGAGATCTGTATGTACACGAGTGCGGATGTATTTTTGAACACACTTGGTCTCAGGTGCCAACCTCTCAGTATATGAATCATATGTTGTGTCTTGGCGTAATTGTTGGAGGCCGTGCGTATACGAGTGAGAGGGGACTTTCTAAGGATGGTCACAATGAGCAAGAACATAAGCTAGTAACTTCACACTTCCCTAGACTATGTTACTACCTCCATAGTGGGTAGAAACATCTATGTAGTGTCATGCAATGATGTATTTATTAGGTTATAGACTCATTGTTTCTTGGAGTGTGTGATGGTCCGGTAACTTAGCTAGTTACCACAAGCACCTCTCTCTTCATTAAATACGTGCCACATAAGCAAAGTTGTATTGGAGTGTGTGATGTTACTCCTAAGTTCCTCCCCACTGTGACCAGCCTAACGGGTTGGGTCCAAATGAATCAAATTTTGCATCCCTGACCTGGTCGTTGGAGATCCAAATGTACACGAACGGGGACCGAACTTTCAAACAAGTTGGGTCCTAAATGCCAGCCTCTGAATATATATGAACTAAATTAGTCTGCATACTTGACGCTGTTGTTAGAGTACCTACACCCGGACTTGACAAATCCGTCCCCTCAAATGCCTGCGGACGCGTTCGGACGTGTCCGCGGGCAGTGACCGGGCACGCCTCAAATTTCACTTATTACATGCGGACATCTAATGCTAGATTCTTAAATTCATACAAAGACATGCAAACGAAATAACCTACGTGCTACATCGATCACCTAGCTACTCATCATTGGAGATGTCGATGATCTCCATGCCTGGCTCCGGAAGGATTGGCGACAGCCACAGGTCTGGTGCCTCCGGCTGCTCCGCTCCGGCCTCCTCCGCATCGAGTTCGGCGAAGAGCGTGTCGGACACCTCCTGCTCCCGCTGGAGGAACGCCTGGTTGGCCTCCACATAGGTCTTATCCTGGATGGACTCCAGAATGGCTTGTTGCTCCGCCATCTCGTCGAACTGGGCGATGACGAACTCCGCCTCCGCCCGCTCCATGTTGAAGCCCGACAACTACTGCTCCGGCTCCTCCACCTCCATCGGAGCCACCTCCTACTCTTCTGTGACTGCTCCTCCCCCTCCTTCGGCTCCGGCAAGTCTGGAGGCTGTCCGACCGATGAGGACATGGCTACCTTGGAAATGATCACAAAATTGGATATGCATATTTATTTAAGGTGATTTCTGATAAAAATTATGCAATGAGTAATTTATACTATGCAGAACAAAAGTACTTCACCTCTTTTTGTTTCATGCCTAATTGCAGAACTATCGGACACTTGTACAATCCACATATGAAGATAAGGGGAAAAGAGATGCTTAGGGATGTTCAAGAAGTTCTCTCATGTCACTTTTAGCCCAAGAGAAGATAGAGTCCAAGTCTCTCACATTATGGACTCAGATTCAGACTGCATAGACATACCTGACTCAAAACGCCAAGAACTCTTTCATCCAGACTCCGAATTGGGTGATTCTTTTTTTTTATTGAGAAGTTTGTGCCGTCCACTTTCCACCCAATTGGATTCACCTTTAAATTCGTCCGGAGCATTGACATATTGATGAAACAGTCTGATGTTGCAGAAGAATCCGAGTCAAACTACAAGTCCAAAGGTGTTGCATCACCTCCATTTGGAACCATGAGTCTTGTACGACATAGGGTTAGTTTTAGGCTACCTTGGAACGTCGTCCCACCTCCTTGGCCGCCACCCCTTGCTCCTATATAAGTAGATCAATCTAGTAGCTTTTTCCTTGGGATTTGTTTAATTAAAAGTTAGCCATTGCAACTTCGTGTACTTTGTTTGTGTCTAATGATCAGGCCAAGACCGCTTGCGGATCCCCACCTTTATCAATAATTCATATATATTCGTAATATTCAGATTGCTTTACCATATTCTTGCTTGTTTCTTCGATTGCATGCAGGAATAGACCTTCGTGGTCAGGTTGATCGTGCTTCCAGCATTGTCAGTAACCTAAGGAGATTAGTTTAGCGATTGTTAAGGCGCAATGTTGTGCACGTTTGTAGTCGGATCGTTAAAGTTGACTCCACCAAATCGATAGTTATCATCTCAGCGAAAGACGGGACACCTTTGCCTCTATCAAGTGGTATTAGTTTTCAGGTCGCTCGATGAGAATTTCCAGTTATCCCTAGATAAGATTTATTTTCTTACCTATTGCCCAAGAAAAACCATCAAAAAAAGTTAGATATGTTCATCCTTTATCCAAACCAGTCCGAGCCTTTGCAATTTTCTTTTTATTGCTTCCATAGTTGAATTATCGGTTGCATCATCGTGTCGAGTTGCTGGTCTTAGTGTGCAGTTCCTTTAGAGTTTTGAGTTTTGTTCACATTAGTCACCCGACTGCTACATCAGTATTTCTTCCGTTTTCCACCACCCCATCCATCAATTTCCACCATATAGTATCCATCGTTCATTGTCATAATCCTAGTTGAGGTCGTTCGCATCTTCACTTGATCCAATCTACATCTTATCTAGTTTGTTTTGGAAAGAGACAAAAAAAAGACAGAGAAAAAAAGAGTTAAAAAAGTGAGAGAAAACAAAGAAAGAAAAAGTGAGAGAGAAAACAAAGAGAGAAGAAAAAAGAGAAATTTTGGATCTATCTAGACTCAATCTCGTATTTGAATTTGGATTGGAATCTGTTTTGCACAGTGTTCAGTAAAATAGGCATAACTTTCTCACTCGAAGTCTATTTTGGCTCCGCGAGTACTCAAATTAAAGATAGTGATGAGATGCATCTGAATAGTTGCACTAGCATGTTCAATATTTGACACCTCAAAATCGGCTTATAAATAGGTCTTTTTGCCATCCAAAGTTCTCGAACACAGTTTCCTACAGTTTTACACGATGGTTTTAGAATTTTTTGCCTCCTCATACAAACTAGGAATTGAGTGATTCTTTTTGCCTTGGAAATCTTGAGTCATTAGCATTCTTGAGAAAAATTATTAGAAAATTGGCGCAAACTTCTCCAGAGGAAAGTTGGAGAAAGAGTGTTTGGTATATCTTGCATGGAGCTTGTTTCTCATCATTATCTTTACTGCCATTGTGATCTTCGCTTATATGTTGCTGTCCAGAGCTACTTCATATCCTTTGTTGTTGTTAGTTGTGCTACGATCTGACCCCATTAATGGTCTAGGCTTGCGTCTCTACTCCGGTCTAGCCTAGGACCAACACAGTACCATCGTTGAGCGTTTATTCAACATTGCATCTCTGAATTGATTATTGCTAATCTTTTGTTACCTTATATTTAAGCCTGCCAAGCTCCACATATTTCTACACCATGTATATGTGCGTTCCCCTGGCAATTGCTTTACTCAATCTTCGGAGTTATTTGACACCGCTGGTTGCCTGTCACCACCTGCTGCATGGTAAGAACTTGTAAGACATTGATATTTGCTCTATTGTGAGTGATTTACCGCCACATCCTAATAGTTCATAGGAACATTTTTCTTGAATTTTGTTTCTTGTTCCTACTAATCATGATAGGTTCCGGAGATAGAAGTGTCCTCTGTTAGGCGATATGTTACTTGCCCGAGATTCCACCGTCGGTATCTCCACACCTAGTTCAATCTCATTTCTGGCAAGTCTCTTTACTCATTCTATAATACAAGATCTCGTTACTAACTCATTAGGCACATTGCTTGCAAGCTCTTTACGAATTTTTATTACCGAAAGGGCCTAGAGACATCTCTCCGTCACATGGAGTGACAAATCCCAGTCTTGATCCATGCCAACCCAACAGACACCTTCGGAGACACCTATAGAGCATTTGTATGATGACCCAGTTACGAAGTGACGTTTGATATCACACAAGGTATTCCTTCAGTATCCAGGAGTTGCATGATCTCATGGTCTTAGGAATAGATACTTGACATGAAGAAAGCTATAGCAATAAACTGAGGTGATATGATCAAATGCTAGCCTACGGTTGGGTCTTGTCCACCACATCATTATCCTAATCATGTGATCCCGTTATCAAAGACAACTAATGTCTATGGTTAGGAAACCTTAACCATCCTTGGTCAACGAGATAGTCTAGTAGATGCTCACTAGGGACATAGTATTTCTTTATGTATTCACACATGTATTTAAGTTTCGGGTCAATACAATTCTAGCATGAATAATAAAACTTTATCATGAATAAGAAAATATGATAATAACCAATTTATTATTGCCCCTAGGGCATATTTACAACACTCTCCCACTTGCACTAAAGT